TGCGGGTTTTCTGCATCACTTCCAAAAGCTGAACCAAGCAAACGCAAAGCAGTTAAGAAAAGCAGAGCGCTTGGCACAAAAGGGTGGAAATACAAGCGGACAGCTTTTTACCGAATTGGAGCACGGCCATTCCGGGTGCACCAATGGATTTCCTGAGCTCAACTACATCCTCAGTGATTACTCCCTGCAATTGCACTTAAAGGTGTCAGAATATTATGGTCATCCAGATAAGCTGAAATACGAGAAAGATTATTTTTGCCCAAATTTAATAAAGAACATGCAGCTGGATGGAATTTTCTTATGATGAAATGTCCATGACACTTAAGCTTGAGCTATGGTCATAACAGCAACTGTTTCCATGATGCAGAAAAAAAAATAACAAAGAAAATGAGTTGGTGTCCACTGCAGAATAGAAGGTTCTTTCATTGCCCCAAATAAGAAAGTTGGGGCAGGAAGGTATGAATTTTTGGAGTCATAACTTTTTTAACTAGTCCTCATAATATTGCAAAACCACTGAAAATTATAGTGTGGTTGATAGCTAAACTTTTGAATTAAAAGCTTCTCCATGACCAAAGAGCTTCACTAATTGTCATGAAGTAATATGTTTGCAATTGTTCAGCTCACTGTAACAAGGAAAAGGGGGAAACAACTGTCTCTTCGACAGAAAAATGCTTACCAAATCTTCAGCTACTATCTTTATATCACCAACAGCTCTAGAGATGGCATCAAACAAGGACTTTCCAGGTCCTGCCTACTGTCATCAAAAGAAAGGACCAAGTCAATAATAGCACAGAGAGCTGCAACATAAATATTGCTTGAATGAAATAAAATAGACCTTCCAGTTTCCAATCATTGCTATCTTTGCCTCTGCATATTGATGCAACTTATCATTAGCATGATGTGTCTATTTCAAAATTAAAAACAATAATAGATAAAACTTGAAATTAAAAACAATAATAGATAAAACTTGAAATATCCTAACCAGAAGACACAGCCCAGTAACCAGCAAACCCTCTAAAATGGTCTATCCTGAATTCATCATATAGATCTTGAGCCCGTCTTATGCGTTTTACCCACCATGAAAAGCCATCTTTCTCCATGGAGTTCCAATGATATAAAGGGCTTCAGGGCAAATGTCAAGTCAACTAGTAAGTTCACTGATGTTGGGTAAACATTTGGAGGATTAAGTAAGACAAACTTAAAGAAAGCATCAGAAGAAAAAAAAAAGTAGAGATAAGGAGAACGAAAAACACAATCCATGAAACTAAGCAATTATCGTTTCTGGTATTAGTGCGTCGTTGCTAATGCTATTGATACAGACTCAGACATCTAATGCTGAAAGCAATAGCATATTAGCACTACCAAATAGCATTATAGAAGAGAACTCACATGGAGTACACAGAAGTCAGATAAGGTGTATGCTTTATCATAATACAATATAATATAGATTACACAAAGAGTGTCGCAGACGGAACATGAACATGAACCACCAACAGAGATACTTCAACCAGTATCTCATCCTTTAGTTTCCAAGTTGGAGAGTAACTTGGGAAATGAGGTTCAAAACACATTGCATCTTGAAGAGAATTCCAATCATTTGGAGATCAAGGCCAATGTACTTATAAACTAAAGATCTAAAATTTGTCATCAATTTGGATTCATTCAGTTCAAATGCCTATTGAAATTTGTGGCAGATGTTTAACTGCTTGTAAATTATAGACAAAGATGCTTCCAAGTCTTAATTTGCCATCAGTACTTTCCAAAAATTTGCTGTTCTTTTTTATCTGCATAATCAATGGGCATTACTAAAAACGTGTAGAATTACAAAGACTGTGTGTCTCAAATTTCAATGACACCCTAACTAGAAAAGACACCAACAAAGAAATTCAACCACAACATATAAGGCTTTGCTAGCTCTCCAATGAAAGTCACTTTCTGTTGTTTTTTAACCCTTCCGGACTCATTGACAGAGAGCTGCAAATAAAACTGGAAACGAAAAGGAATATTCAAAGAATAAAAATATGGTTTAGAGCTGAGTTCCGGACAGACCTGCCCCACAATTGACCAGTTTCACTGAAGGCGTCAGGAGGAACACCACTAACCAGAAGAGGAAAGCCGCTCTTGTTCTAGAAGTAAGAAAGTAGAATTGATGACAAAAAATGGTAGAGCATAGTACGGCTAACCTGCATGTGGAGAAAATCCAGAAGCATTCACAGAGAGCTCCTTACCAGTAAAAAGTGTTTCTTATTGGCCCAAACATCAGCACTGTGATAGCCGACATAGATGGGCATGTCTCCCATTATACTGACTCCATTCTTCTGTGCATAGGCACGAAGTTTCCGCCACTGCCTCTGGAATAAGAACTGCCGTGCAATGAATATATCTATCTGGGCCAGAGAAACCAAGTAGGGTAACAGTTAGTGCCTCCAGCATCGGGCTCATACACCCAGACACAATTGATTAATTAAGTAAAAAGAAGTTGTATTGATCCGTACAAAATCCTTTTCGCGTTCATAAATGTCTTCCAGAGCTGCAAGGTGGCGATTTTTCAAAGGTTCAGGCCATTGGTACCAGTCCAATGCATTCGTCGAATTGTCAATTGCAGCAAAGTAAGCTGCATCTAGAAGCCAACCTGCAAAAGTGGCTACGTTTTAAAGCATCTATCTCTGGCAAACAGAGAGTATGTCATGTTACCAGCATTACAAGGGGAGAGTAGCTAAAGCAAGGAACACAAACCACATAAAACGGAGACACATCTTAGTAACTGACTCAAAGAAGAAAAATTGATCAGAACATATTTCATGAAAAAATAACATTCGCAGAAATGGCCTTTGGGAAGAAAGCAGTTACCCAAACTGCTAGCTCTGCATCCAATTACCTTACCAAAATCATAGGCTAAAACAAAATGGCATGGTATGTAACCCAAGTTACCAATGCATATCAGATGCATGCGTGATAATAGTGACAAATAGAAGCCTTACTTGCTATGCTGGGGTCTTTACGAAAATCATCCAGCTGCCTTTTAAGGTTAGAGTCACTCTTAACCAATCTCTCTGCAGCCTAAGAAAGGTCCACTGTAAGTAAGCTGTTGAATTAAGACTAGGCATGCAATGAAATAATTGCTATTCACATGTTTAGATCAACTCAAAAGGTTTACTAAAATTCGAGTAAATCTAGTTGAGTCTAACTTAAAATATGCAGAACTTAGCAATGCGGCCCTTTTTCTTCAATTAACCTCAAGATTAAAATATGCAGAACTTGATAATTGGGGACTTTTTTATTCAATTAACCTGAAGACCGCTTCTACCAGAGTTACATGCCATAGAACAACAAGAACTCAACAGCAATTGTTCAGGTCTTGATAATTTACCTTGGTGATCAAAGGATCCTTCAATTCAGAAGCAGCAGAGAAATTTACACGTTCGGCATCTCTGCACAATCAGTGAAATATTCACAGAGGTCAGCTAACAAAGCACCAACACTATGATCTCCCAATCCACAGGCAAATACACCAAAATTCCTCACATAGGTTCCGGAAGCTCGTCTGCTGACAACAAACCATCCTTCACAAGTTCTTCGAGAGAAATCAAGAGGGTATTTCCACAATTAGCATCCTGAGCAAGAGTTCAACCATTCAGTCAACATGCACAGAAATGTCCCGAGTTCAACACCAGAAAGATGCATTTCGACAGTTCTCACTACAAATGCTCAAAAGCTAAGGCTTCTCAGTAGGAACAGTCACCTTGCCCGAGTACGGTGATCCTTCATCATCAGGTGGAACTAGCGGGAGAACCTGCAAAACAGACACATTGATTCTGCTATGCTTTACTGCATTGCATAAAATATGACAAGGAGGACAAAAACCATAATTATACACCACTCTCGGCGCCTATGCAGACAACTATCATGTAGAATCGTTCTCCTCCAGATCATTCCCGTGACTCGGCGAATTCAAACAGAAATTCGACAAACCTGCCAAACGGAGCAACCAGCGTCGCTCAGCCAATCGACGAACCGGAACGCCTCCTGGCCGAGATCCCCAATGCCGTGAGGCCCTCTCAAGGAAGTAGGATGGAGCAAGACGCCAGCTCTCCTGCGAGACCCCGGATCGCGCTTGGGAAGCCAGTCGCCGTAAGCGTCGGGGAAGCTTTCGCCGACGGCGAAGGAAGCGGCGCGGGAGAGTTCGGAAGTCATGGAGACGGTAGCTAGGGCAGGGAACCCGCGGCGGCGCAGCGAGGAGTCGAATCGACGAGAGACGGGGAGGAGGAGAAACGGGGCGGCGGAGGCGGGAGAAGAGATACAAGCTGGAGAGAGCGAGATGGAGCTCAGCTGAGCCATGGATTGGCGCGGAAATGTGGAGAAGGATGGAGAAAGGGGGTGAAAGCTTACGATCAGTTTTCGAAAGCTGTGTGAGATATTATATTTGCTTTTATTTTATTATTTAATTGATTTTTTATTTTTATTTTTATTTTTGTTGAATCTAGTTAATTGAATTTTCCCTCCCTGGTTTAACGTTCTAAATCTAATATGATAATAAGCTGGTCACTTAAGATTTAACCAACCAACCATGGATTGGTTGGTCGGTTGGGTCAGACGGTCAAGTTAAGGTATTGGAAAAAAAATTAGTATTTTTTTTTCCCGATAAATGCCAAGAGAATAGTTAGAAAGAACACTACTCACAAGCCACAATCCCTTCCTATCCTACTAGCTAGCCACCCAACAAAATCAAAAGAAGCTAATTCTAACCGGGACAACAACAGGGCTTTGCGTGCCACTCTATGAGTAGCCTAATATTTTTATTCTTTTGCAAAATAGATTAATATATTGAACTTATAATCTTTGAAAAACTATTTATAACAACCATCTGTCAAAATTTCGTTCGAATAACATTTGTGAAAACGAAAGGATGACAAGAATTGACGATAATTGCTAAACTGACTCGTTTTTCGGCAAATTAATTAGTATTGTCTAACCCGTTTGATTGCTTCTTGTTCTGTATCTATTTGTTACCACATTTATACAGGAAAAACAAGTCGGAGTTATGTGATGACTAATTAATGCATTTGTGACACATTATTGATTGATGTACCATTAATCATGAAAATATTCTTACATGCATATTCAAGAACATCATTCGTGCCTCATTGGCCATTGCCAATTTGCCATGTATCTTCCGAGGTCGATGTAAACAATTTCCATATACTTATATTATTGAGCAAGATGTCATGGAACAAACTATCATGTAGATGGTGAACACCATATACTCACCCTCCCTATCAAAGATTTTAATCAAGTTGAAGCCCCCTCCCAACAACAACTACAAAAGATCCCATGAAGGGAGAAAATAACAATAACAAATCTACTAGCTCTAATATAACTCCAACTCCAGTGGACGATCTAGAAACAGTTTGTCGTTTCTCTAGCTGCCGACGAACTGAGAAATCACCTAAATGTAACCTCAGTCCAAAAAACACCTCCTCCGTCTCCTCTTCACATCCCCCACTTTATAACAGATTGGGTAACAACAACAAAAAAATTGTGGTCGTCGTGATCTTACATGTTCATTTTTAAAGTTCGACCTTTCATTAAACATTCGTTATAGATGGTCATCATACAAAGCATCAAACAGCCGGAGGCAAAATATAAGAGCATAAGACCCTATTATTATGATGAACATGAGTCAAAATTTCAGTTTCATAATAATTAAGAGAACGAGGAGATCAGCAACCACCATTGTCAAGGTAGTGTTTTTTTTTTTTTTTTTTCTCTTCTCTATATTTTTACACGCGGACAAAGAAGACGGTGAGTTCCGGCCCATTATTCCCTTCTGGGCTCAACATATAGAACGTCTCTGAATCCTTGGACCCAACCACCCGCTCGAAAAAGGCCCGCATATACGCCAGCTCGCCTTCCACCCCTTCCGTCTCCGCATTCCCGGGCAAAACCCCAGCCCCCATGGAAACCGGCTTCAACAGCTCCATCACCTGCAAATCCTCCGCCGTCGCCTCCCTCTTCACGCCGTAACCCGTCTTCTTCCCGTTGCAGTACATCGTCCACAGCGGCTCGTCCAGCAATTTCGTCTTACTGCTGCTATTAGAACCCCCGCTGCTGTTGTTGTTATTACCACCACTGTTCCCGTCGCCGTTGTTGTCGGCCCGCTTCTCGCACTCGAGCGCGATCCGGAGCATGCCCGACCCAAGCTCCTTCTGCAGGACGCTCGTCTGCATCGCGAGCTCGACGACGGCGGAAGGGAGGCATTTGGGGGTTTCCTGGATCGACAGGCTGACCCGGCCCTTTCTGTACCCGAACAGGGTGCCCGTGACCCGGGTGCCCGACACCCCGCCCCGATTCGGCCCGTCGGAGGAGAACCCGCTCGAGAGGAGGATCGGCATCCGGCAGGCCGGGGCGCCGATTATTGGGAAGGAGCGGAACACGGATCGGAAGACGCGGACGACCTTGGGCTTGGATTTCTTGTTCTTGCCGGCCGGCTGTAGGAGGGAGACGGCGGCGACGGCCGGTAGGGGAGGCGGCGGTGGGGTCGGAGTTTGGGAATTGGAGGAGGCGTTGCTGGTCCGCGGCGGCGTTCGGTCACCCATTTATTAATGGACTGCGATGATGAAACGGGAGGAGGCATTTGCCATGGAGAGAAGGCGAGCTGCTGGTCGGCGAGGCAAACGGGGTGTGGAGAGGATTTGGAGATTTTGTTGTGGTGTTGTTGTTTTTACCTCCTGTTTGGTGGCAGGAGGAGAAGGAAGAGAGATGGCGGAGAACGACGACGACGACGGGGACTCGTGATTTTGGGGAAATGACGATCCGATGTTTTTGGGTTCTCGGGAGATGTTTGTTTAACAGGGGGAGAAAGATTAATTTGATTTGATTTGATTTTCCTGTAATTCGATTTGCCCTTTTTTTGGCAATTTTCTCTAATACTCATTTTGCTTGCTTCCTAATTTTTGTTTTTTTTTTCCCCCCACTTTTTTAAATGCGCCGATGGTGTTCCAAATTCCAATCACCAAATTCCGATGGTTGTTAATTTTATAGAGTTAACATCGTATAAAGTAATTAACCACTCTAATCACTATTTATTACATTTTAAGTTAACTTTGGCAATATAAATTTACGAGGATCTTGTCCTCCATTTCAGAAAATTAATTTGATAAAGAAATTATTCTTTTGTTATAACATTGGTCTTAATATGCTGTAATTACTAATATTGGTCTTAATATGCTGTAATTACTAATATTTGGGGTCAAAGGATTTCATTAAACAAAACAACCGCCACTAGATTCATTATTATGTAATAATATTCGGTTGATATAACATTGGTCTTCCGTTTACCATAAAATTGAGACGTCTAGACTATATACCCATCCTTGGTAATATTGCTAGTAGCCGCTTAATAAATTAGTTTTTAACTCTAATCTTGGAAGTTAGCAAAGTTGGGCCGCATTCAAAGATTAATTTAACAAAAATAGTAAATTTTTATTTTCGAGGCCGATTAATTTAATCATCTTATATCACTAGAGGTCTCGGTGCAACGTACTAAATGTATTGGTCGAGATAAAAAAATTTTAGTTCTGATACAGCCTGTCATCTGTTGAGACCAGAAACTTCGCGCATTAGTTCGATATTCGTCACCTTAGACTAACTTCCTTGTTCATATATGCTTTTGTACACATTCTTAAAAGACTTCGTACTCATAGAGGTAAGTGAAAATTTATAAAATATATTTTCAAAAAAAAAAAATTGTTTGCAAAATGAAGTGCACACCCCCCAACATTTATTGATAGCCACAAAGCTTATAATTTTCTCCTAATTACTAAATAGTGGGACGTCTTGAACAAATGAATCGCTAATGCGTGTACCGTTACGCAACAACATAAAAGTATGGGTACTTCATTGATAATCTTCAATAAGTGCGTAGAAGGATAAAACGGCTCCTTCCCTGGAATGAAATTGAAGGAATAATGATAAACGTGCGGTCAATTTTGCCGTAGCTTATATTGGCAAAGAAGTTTGCAGGTGGTGGAATCGGCTTTGCCGGATTCACAAGAAATGGGTCCCTGTTATTTGCATTTGGAAAGCATTATCCAGGTATTATTGATCCTTTCATTATGGAATTATTAGCTCTTCGTGATGCGATAAATTGGTGCCTGACCCATGGATTTGGTGTGGTGAACTTTTGTGGGGACTGTCAAACACTGGTTCGGGCTGTTCGGGAGAGAAATGTGGAACATGGAATCGGCGGCGCAATACTGGAAGAGATTCGAGTGACGATTTCATCATTTGATCTATTTTCATGTACTTTTACTCCCCGCAGGTGCAACAGGGCTGCCCATTTAGTGGCACAAAAGGCCCTTTCATCGGCAGCTCGACTATTTGTCGACTGCCGCGTTTGGTTGTGTGCTGTTCTTTGACTATTATATTTCCTATCTACGTAAAAAAAAAGTAGGATGGTAATGGGTCGGGTTTTGCCAAACCCAAATCCAAATTCATGGGTTTATCTGTGAAAAAAACGCGGAGTAAAACACACTAGGTTTGAAAAATTCAAAACCCAACCCAACCCGCTGGGTATCCGCGGGGTTTTGTCGTAAAAAATTTACAATAACAAGTTCCTATCAAAATTAAAGTCAAATATCAATATCTCAATACAAATTATCCATATATAAAACACTATTCTAGAAAATTCAAGCAAATCACAAATTAACTATACAAATTGTTCAACACCAATCTAGAAAACTCAAGATAATTGAAGCAAATCACAAATTATCCCTGATTAATTGAAAGTTTCTTCTATTCAATTAAGTTTCTTTACTCTCAACACAATTAGAAAGAAAAATTATACATGTCTCCACAAACATAAATAAGATTAGTTGTTTAGAATATTAAATATATCGAGAAAATTAATTATATGGGTGTGGGCGGGTACCCATGGGCCGGGTTTACCTAAACACAAACCCAACCCAATAAATAGTGAACGGGTTTAAACCCAAACCCGACCCAAAATCCGTCAACATGAATTTTACCCGCGTTGACCGAGTTGGATCGGGTAGATACCCGTGGGTTCGGGTTTTGTTGCCATCCCCGCAAAGAAGTGACTCCTCGATCATTCCATTGATAAAAAGCTCCCTTCCTTCCTTTCTTCCTTAGTCCTCCAACCCCACTCGCTTTCCGATTCCCTCTACCTACCCCACCCGCCGCCGCTCGCCGGTAAAGTCCCCTCCGCCTCGCCGCCGCCGCCGCTCACCGGTTTCCGTTCTCCAATTTTTCATAATCTTTCTTTTCCTTTTTCTCCATCATGTTTGATTTCGGCGACGAGCTGACGCTCCAGAGCTACAGGATTCCATGGCTAATCTGGATTCAGATTCTGGTCCTCTTGCTCATCGTCTTCCTCTTCTACTGCTTCAGCTTCTCCGTCACTTCTCCCGCCGACGATGCCTCCCTTTTATCATCCTCCGCCCCTGCCTCCGCCGATTCTGCTTCCTCCAGCTACAGCAGAGATTCCGACGATATAAAGAAGATTGCGAAGCACGGCGGCGGCGATGCTTCGACGAACATCGCCGATTACGTCCGCCACTGTCAGGTAGGTCTAACTGATTTTCCCCCGATTCTGGTTCCAATTTCTTTCTGCCGATAGCTTTACGTTTCTTCCTTTTCGGTCGTTTTGCGTGCCGTTACCGTCAGTGTTTTTGGTGACACTGTTTTGTTTTTTTTTGTTTTATTTGATTAATTCACTGCTGGATTTTTTGCTTGTTTGATGAACTCGATAGGAGCTGTTTGGCTTTTCGGTTAACTTTTTGGTTTCTGTTAGCCACGAAAAGGAAATTAGGGGAAAATGTGGAAGAAGAGGTCTTGGCTCTCTGCTATGCTCTCTGCCGTGTTTCAGAGTCAAAGTACAGTTGTATAAACAAGTTGTGAAAAAGGGGCCGAAAATCATTCCTTGAATAATTGCATGATAATGATAGTTGATTTGGAATCCAAACACGGTCTTAGAGGTCGTTTAGAAGTTGCGATAGTTTTGTTGAGATTGTCATTATACATGTATTGTTTACAATGAATCATTTTATTTTGTTTTTTAGCAGAAACAATACATGAATTGTTTCTGTGATGTAACAGAAACTATCACTCATTTTGAGTGATTGTTATATCTCAACTTTTAGTTGTTATTGTTGAGATAGTTGAGTTGAGATTGTTTTGTCTCAGTTTTTAGCTGATACGACATACACAATCACACATATCAAATATTGTATTCTACAATGCATCAAATTCGACAATACATGTATAATATTATACATGCATTCTTAACAATACATTTATTGAACAATCGCAACTTCCAAACCACCCCTTACACTCTTACTGCTCAACTCCTAATCAACACAATTCAGCTAAAAGAAGGATTTTGAGCTAGGAAATTTCCTACTAGTGATTAGAAGAAAGTTCACTAAGAAGGAATTTGGGGTAGTTGTCAATTTGATTGAACATCAGTAATGATGGTTGGTTGTAGGTTACAAGTCTGGTCGACATCATCATTATGCCGTTTGCTCTAACGCCTTTTGAATACTCAGGGTAATGATATATAGCAGCAACCCGGTACGGTTGGTTGATTTGTGGTACGAACTTTTTGGAAATGACGTTTGTCGCGTGAAAATGTTTCATGTGTCGATGACATTTGTGATATTCTAGGTACTTGATTGACTCTTGATTTAACGAATTTTGGTATTTTGTGAAAGAACGTTTTCCACACGCTCGTTGATATGGTTATCTAGTTTTTTTTTTAATGAAAACCATTCACAAAGTTTCATTTTTGTCCACTTATTATGCTGAATGAAATGTCGATTGAATGAACCGTGTAACATACCGCATGCGCCACAAATGTTAGGTTTGTTAAAGATGAGATCATCTAGTCAAATCAACCCTTCATCTTTAACATGAAATGAGAGATTTCTAATCTCCAACCGTTATCGATTATATCAAACCAAGGTTATTCTTTTTATTTATTTATCATTAGATGATTTCTAATGGAAAAGATTAAAAGAACTGTTCTTGCAAAGAAGGGGAGGGGAGATACACGTGAGCATCTATTGGACTCCACGAAGAAATATATAATAGTACAAATGATAATATTATCTTCGACTCTTTAAATCCGCATAGGTCAAGTACCAGCGTTATTCGCTGTGTCTTGTTGTCGACTTGTGTTCTTGTCATCTGGTAGTTTTGATTAATAATAATAGAAGGGCAGGTCCCATCAATGGATAGACAATGATATATGGTAGGCCAGAGTATTAGTGTTGTGGTATATGATCCACGATTGAACCACCCCCAATAATTTGAGTTATTGGGATCAACTGGTTCATGACATGGTATCAGAGCCTTCTGTGATCGAAATGTCTTGTGTTCGATTTCCGGTGACCCCCATTTGTTAAGCACATGATATTCTTGTCTTCAGACCTGTGCAAACTTCAAGCCCTTGTGAGTGACTTTCGTTTGAGGGGGCGTGTTACTGTTGTGGTATATGATCCACAATTGAACTTCTCCCAACAACTCGAGTTATTGGGATTAACTGGTTCTTGACATGGTATCAGAGCCTTCTGTGACCGAGAGGTCTTGTGTTCGATTCCCGGTGACCCCATTTGTTAAGCACATGGTATTCTTGTCTTCAGACCTGTGCAAACTTCAAGAGGCACCTTACACTTCCAGGCTTCATGCTGCCAGTTCTTCTTATTGGTAGAACATCAATGACTGCAGCTCGGCTGCTAATTGACCGAACTAATCAGTTGTGTCCTCTGCTGTTCCTGTCAGCTTAGTCATGAGACTGAAACCGAGAAGTTTCGGTTTGTTTTGGTTGCAGCCAGAGTATTTAGATCAGTTGTTTCCTCATATTTGTTGTGAACTAGAAAGAGTATATCAGCTATATCTGGTGACCAAGCTTCATCCTTTTGCCTTCATACTAAGGCTAGGCTGCTAGGAAATCTATGCTTCTGAATGGCATTCAGTTTACATGGTTCATATGCTTGAAAATACTCTGAGAGCCGAATGCATCAACAAATGATAACTCGGTTTCTAAAAAAAAAATGTTCTTTCTCAGGTGACTAGGAGCCAGAGCATAAAAGGAGAGCTGGCGATGACGACGACGACGACCACAGGCAGAAGAATAGTGAGGGAAGACACCATAGAGGGGGATGCGATTAGCAACTACCATCCCTGCAACTACATCCGGCTAGCTAAACTGGTATTCCTCAAATGCTTTGGACTTGATTGCGAATTCGAGAGGTCTTCGAACTCCGAGAAGAAGAAACGAAGATGACAGAGCTTTGTTTGTTCGGTCTTGTATGTATGTATGTTTTGAGGTAAAGCTCGGAGGCAAGGCTTGCGGAAGCGCGGGAGAGTTTCCTAATTCTTTTACTTGTGAAGGATGCTCTGATTAATGTGCAAATGTGTAAATATTTTGCTTCAATTTGAGCCAAGAGGAGGCAAAGTGTAACATGTAAATTTAGCAATGTCATGTGAGACTTTGAATTGTAGGCTCTTGGCTAGCTAGAGTTAGGGGTGTCCATTCGGGTTCGGTTTTTCGGGTTTACTCGAAACCGATCCGATTATATACATTTTCGGTTTTTCGGGTTCGAGTTTGTTTCGGATTTCGGATTTTTTGGGTTTGGGTTCGGTTTTGCTTATTGGGTTTTCGGGTTTCGGCTGAAAACCTCCAGGAAATAGCACTCAGTTCGTATTCTTAGGCGTTCGGATTTTCGGGTTTCGGTTTTTGGTTTTCGGGTAACCGAAAACCAAAAATTCTTATCGGATTCGGTTTTCATCGATTTCGATTTCAGGTTTCGATTCGGGTAACCTAACCCGACCCGAATGGACACCCTAGCTAGGGCTTCCGCCCCAGCCTCAGCCTTGTTGCATATGAGCAATGGACGATTCTCAATAGAACCTGTCGATAGACATATGACCAAAATTCGTAAAACGGTACACTTCAAGGGTTTGTTAATGTATTCAACTTTAGTGGTAAGTGCCCACCCCCTAGGCATATTATATTTTACAAAATTGTTGAATCGGGCATGATTCTAAAAAATACACGATAAAAGAAAAAAAATTCCAAATCAGCTTATTTCAAGTAACATAAAGCAGCTGCTTGACCAGCTTCTCGTCTTCCGTCTTATCTTTTCTTATTCTCTTCCCCACTTCTCTTAGCCGAACTTCCTGTTCTTCTCCCGTTGTTCTTACTCTTTCCGCTGACTTTCCGAGAGTAATTCAAATATCATGTTATTAAGATAAATAACTTCAATTAAAAAATATACCGAACAAAAAATTACGGATTAAAGCTCACATGTCATATTATATTCTACAAATATGTTGAATCAAGCATAATTTTTACAAATACACCAGAAATGATGGAAGATTCCAAATCAGCTCAAATACGCGAAAAATGGCTCCAATGTTCTTTTCCTGTCCTGACAAAAAAAATGTGCTAGGCATGATAAAGCTCTTCTATCATGTATTTTTATCAAACATACTCTTTTATAATGTTTTGCATCAAACATATTTATGTATACTTTGGGAAAATTATTAAACATGCAATTTTATTAAAATTTTCATCCAAAGACCTACCACCACAATAGAACCGCGATTTAGGCGACATAAATGTCTAAAATACCCTTAATACTTCATAATTTTTGCTTTCCTTGGTATAGCCCAACACTCCTAATAATTTCATTAATAAAACGGATAGAAATAAATAGACGGACAAACTAACATTTCTCCTTCCATTTTTTTCCCAAACCAGATCATCTGAACCATGATTTGACTGTGTTTGATGGTATTTGGATGTAAATTTAACCCAAGAACGTGTTGTATAATCTTTACAAAAATACGTTTAATGTGAGAAAATAGTTTAAAAAAAAAACATGACATATTATCGTATGTACGTCCTTCCACGTCACATATAACATCTCCAATGAGATCTCTGGATTTCCTTCAATAAATGGGCGTATCATGTAGCTGCAGATCTCTACAGTCTCATATTCTTTTAATTTGCTCTCGACGTAAAAACAATTTACTCAGTAGTACGTAGTGCATGTTTCCTCTCCCAATGGCGAGTAGAAGCGTAAGCTTAAGAATATTGTCACCTAATAATTCACCGCCGTGGCCTTGCCATGTAATAATCCTTCTCCTGTCATTACTACTCGCCCTCCTTCTCCTTCCACTATCCGCCTATCCGTCGGATCTTCCTCCGCCGGCAGCGGCGGCGCATGGCCGGAACCGGGTAGCTGGCGAGGCGCAGGCTGCCTTCGACTTGAGGGAAGTGGCTCCGATCCGAGCTTCGAAGGTATGCAAAGTAAATCCTTTGGTTATGAAAAGTAATTAATTAAGATATCCTTATATTTAATTTTCCAATATATTTTTTTTTTATTCCAATACAATCTTGTGCTTCGATATGCAGGGTGTTTTCATTTTTTTTTTCCATCCCGATTCTCGATTAATTCTTCCGTCTTTCTTTCGAGCTAGTGAGAGAAACTTCTTTTACGTACGGTACGAATTTCAACGCGGGAACACACGGATTTTTAGCACGTTGAACTGCCTCATCGCGCTTGATCCTGTTTTTTTTTTTAATTAACGGGAAACACGGATCTTCAACACGCGAAAGCAGAGAAAGAAGACCAAAAGGACACCAACAAACGACCAATCCGCATATATTTATAGTTATCCAATGTCGTAGTGGTCCAGGTCAAAGAAAATCAACGACTGAATTTTATTTACAAGGATAACATAGATATATGCTTTAATTATTAACTAGAAAATTCGAACTTAAGATTTTCAGGCTGACAACCAATAATAATACTATAATAGTACCAAAATGTCACACATATTCGATAATTTATTCATTGAAACACAACATAGCTTACACATCCAAAATGTGCATTGAATAAGGTGGTAGCGGGTAACCGTGGCGAGGCCAGCGGCGGCGAGTCGACGGCCAACGCCGGTGAGTAAAATATTAAAAAAAAATATTATTTTTTTTCACCACATATGCATGGTGTGAGTTAGCTGCAGAAATTTAATCAAAATCCCTTCTGTGGTCTGTCAACTAATTAAGGTTGGGGCAAAGGAGGAGGAAGAAGAAGGAGCAGTGTTGTTTCCGTGGACGCGAGGGCAGAGGATCAGAATGGCAGCAAAAGGGAAGAGGAAGAAGAAGAAGAAGTAGGGTGGAGGTGGTGGTGGGATGATCTGGTGCGGCGGAGTCCATGCATATTCTCACGCTGTGGCGGTGATGACGGCGGCGGCGGTGCGGCCGGGGCGGAGACGGAGAGAATGCCGATGGCGGAGACGGAGAGAATGCCGATGAGGCCAGGGGTGAGCTTCGGCAGAGGTCCACAGATCAATTAATAATAATTAGTTAAATTAGTTGAATTATATCTTTTTTGGTTGGTTTACGCGCCATAGTAGTAATTAGTGCGTGTTAATCATGATTTTGTTGTTTGGTGATATCTGAATAGAATACTTAAATAAAACAGTAACATATCATATAGAACATACTTGCTATGGGTTGTTCAAATTTTAGATGGTATAGAAACATGTTTGTTACAAATTATCGTATGAGTAATTATGAGCTAAAAATGGCTTAGTATAATGACTAATTAGTTCATTGATAACAGTTTAACAAAATATGAATTTACAGCATATACCGATGATTTAAATCGATTTGGATGGAACAAGGACAAAACAAAAGAGCCATCTATAACGAAATCAGTAAAAAGTTATATAAAAAAAGTACTCAGCAGCACGCCCAGTGGGAATTCCATAGATTTCGTTTAAGGCTTCCAATATGAAAAAAGAATTGATAGCTTGTACTTCGGTTGTATCAATTATCATTTTAACGACCAACTTCTCCTATAATAATATCTATGCTACCTAGTATTGTCATAATATCCTCCAATTTCATTCTTTTAATTAATTGAGGAAGAATTTGCAAAAAATTATAAATAACTACAAAAAGTTATAAAAAAATGTTGTCAGCACGCCCAGTGGGACTCGAACCCACAATCGCTTGATTAGAAGTCAAGCGCCTTATCCATTAGGCCATGGGCGCTGTTTACTGACATAGTCTCACATCGTTATACATATAAATTCATAAGAAGCTGCAGGAACCAAATTTTATATGGCTTATTCTCAGACCTTCAGTTAGCTTTTGGCCTTACATAATATCACTCATCAAGAATCTCCCAAAGTTGTCAAACCGGTTTAAGTCATTGAGCCGGTCAAGCAAGGGGTTTGAGGTTTAATGGTCTGATCGGGGTCCGGCCGGTTTGAGCCGTTTTAGACGTTTTCTAAATATATATACAAATAAAGTAGTAATTAAAAATTTAATGAGTGAAGTAAAATTTATCTTACATATATCTATTAAAAACTTATTTTCAACAAAATAAATCTACCTAACCTTCATGATCCACCTACCATTTCCCTTCCTTCGTTCTTTTTCCTCTCTTCTGCCTCTCTTCTTCTCCCTGTTTAGGGGTCAGACCGGGGGGTTTTCTGGAGGCCGTTTTGAAGCCCGACTCGGGTTGAACCGGGTCCAACCGGGGAGTTTGATAGGGGTTTAACAACCTTGGAATCTCCTCATTGCATTGTTTCATTAGTAAATGCATTTAATATATATTGGTGGGAGGAAGGTGGTGGTACTCTGTACATAGTGAGAGAAGGTGAATAAATTAAATGAACTTCCATGGTTGGTTACCCTGAGATGAAGAATCCTCATTGAAGGTGCAACCTTTTATTACAGTGAAGTGCAACCCTCCAGAACAGAACAAAAGAAAGAAAGAACAACTGAAGAAGAAGAAGAAGATAGATAGATTTGTAGTGAGAGGAGATGGAAGGAACAAGGTGGTGGTTGAACATTGACTCTGTTCTGCACATCCAGTGCTTGGAGGCCCTTAAACCCTTCCTCAACTGCTTGGGCTTTCGCCACGAGGAAGATGATGATGATCGTCAGGATCAGCAGCTGCAGCAGAAGGAAGAAGAAGAAGAAGAACATCGTCCTCCAGCCGTGGCAGCAGCAGAGGATCCTCCCCTGCAACTGCTAGCTTCATCAAAGGCAACTCTCTCTCTCTTCAATCTCTCACTTTATAACGTTTAGATTGTCATGAACCAGTTGGTCCCAATAACTCGAGTTGTTGGAAGAGGTTCAATCGTGGATCATATACAGTTTACATATCGTTGGAAAATTAAGAGAAGTGATTTTTTGTGTGTGTAATTATCTCTGATGAATCAGCAACAACAGCAGCAGGAAACCGGCTCATCGGCACCAGCTGCAGCAGTGTCCCTTCGAGCAGTAGCAGGAGGAAGGCCACCGGATCCTCCAATGAGCAAGGGAAAAGGTCCACAAATTAATGAGGCTTCAGCTTGATTATTTACTAATCAATTAATTAATTACATTTAAAAAGCTTGAATTAACAATTGGGTGTGTTTTCATGTTTAGTACTATTGCACTTGCTTGATGTGCATGCATACCAGCAAATGGTATTAGTATTATTGTATTTGGAGGTCCAATATTGTAAAATCGTACCGTGCTTGTATCGGAATGATTCACGATATGATTTTTTATGCTGAAATTGTGCTTCAGTCGTTTCATATCACTTAAAATCACCAACCGATTTAGACCTATGATATTAAAAAAAAAAAAATGGACCGTCGATACGATACAATTTTTACAAATATTGGTCCAAACGATATGAATGCTCAAAGGTTGTGTGGACAAATTGGTCACTGAAGTTAGTAATTGGCCCAATCTCCCAACCTACATAGTGAAGAAGTAGCAAATCTTCTTCTCCATTAATGGAATACTTGAGCTTTTCTTCTCCTCTTTCCCTTCTTAGTACCCTCAATTCATGACATACCACCAACTGCCTGTCCTGGTTTCCATTAAATACAGGCTGAATTTATAGCTTTTAGTTGGTGAATATGTAAACACTTTACACCCTGGAGCTAATTTGTTCAAACGTATTTGTTTGTAGGTAACAAGTGAATATTTTTTTTTTCTTCTCTTCCCAAGTTCATCTGTTTGTCTTACAATTAAGATCATTACAGAAATAATTGATAAAAATGGATTAGGGTAAGAAGCAGACCGACCCTTTTGAGAATACAGAAAGAAAGACAAATCACAACACAACACTCCTCAAATCAAATAATGACTTGTATGCTGGCAACTGCAACAGCTTGAATTCAAGAATGCCAATGCTTCTTCCTCTGTAAGCTTTTGCAGGTTCATGCGGCTGGCTCACCGAAAGATGTTCTCGACACGATTAATTACAGTTGGGGAAGTTGCAGTATAGAGTGGCAGAGAGAGATCGATATACCGGATTAAGCAGCAGTTGTTCATCAGAGCGCACGACAAATTAGTAGTCTATCTGCAGTTCTGCACAGGGTGTGCCATTAATTTGGCTACTGGAATTCAAGATCTAGTTTCCTCTTCAGGTGGGATCTGTCGGCACTGCACCAAAATAAGAAAACTTCATATATATTATCATCTGTTTTGGCCATCCCGATAAAAAATTTCATTGGATGACAGAGGAGAACATTGCCTGGCACGCAGGAAGAAGAAAAGAGAAGATCAGGGAGAAACATGGTCATTTAAGTTTAATGTTACTTCCCATATTCTATTAGCTACTTGGCATTCTCATAAGATACTACAACCAATACTCCACTTTTGAGTTTAAGAACTTCATGGGTTACAGCATTAAAAGCCTGCGACTAATTGTACATCGACCAGCACTAAAGTAAAAGTTGTTAAGAATTCACATGTGTGTCACTAGTGGATCCATGCCAACCTCTTCATGTATTTCAAACACTTGGTAGCCTACGTAGGCACTACTAGAACCAATGAAAGGCCTTTCAAATCAAGTTCATACTCCAAATCAAATTCAAAGTTCACCTGCGCATTGAGAATATAAACTAGGAATCAAATCCGAAATTGTTTCTCTTTACTTTCTGTAATGAAACCAAAGTTATGTCACCCGCAAATAGAGGAACGCAGATTTGGGATCAATATATCGCAAATAAAATCAACCTAGCTACAACCCGAAGATTGGTCAATTAACAATTGCATATAATCTCTTTATCCTGCAAATATCTAGGGAGTGGTTTTACCTGTTAATTGTAGGTCTGCTCATGGGTCTTGCTCCGAACACTGAAAGATCTACTGACATTGGCATGTGGTCAGTCCTGCCCGAGTTATCACCAGCTGTATGTTGTCTCATTTGTGCATTTTCATCAATCTTATCAAGTTGTTGGTGGACATTTACATCAAAGCTTTCACGTTCAGCCATCACTCTTCTCGTCTTCCTTGGAGGTGATAAAACAGTTGGACCAGCCTGGGAATTCAAATCTGAAACCCTAGCATTGAGAGGTTGCCCCTTGGGAGCAGGTCTGGGAAGCTTAGCTGGTTCCGTAGGTAAAGGGGCAGATGAGAAGTACCTAATACCAAAAACATATATATATTAAATAATAGTATAGCAGAAACCACGTAATTTATTAGACTCTCATCTAGATAGAGTTTTTATTCCTTACCTGTGTTCTAATGCCTGTTGGATTGTGATCCTAGTGTTTGGATCATAAGTGAACATCTTTGATAACAGATCCAGGGCATCCTCACTAGCCATTGGAAACAATTTACGCAACGGTTGCGAAGGAACTGTTTGGTACTCTACATAATCAGGAAGGTATACCAAATCATGCCATTGCGAAGGTGTTGGAGTCCCAAATGCTTGGAAAATCTTTCCTAACTGATCAATGTCACTTGACCCCTGCCACACATCACACTGTATAGGTAAGACACATATAATCTTAACCTAAACAAATGAACCATTAAAAATTTCCAAGAAGCATTATGCACACTATCAAAATCGTAATTGAAAAGGAGCCCTATCATCCCTCTCCTCTTTCTTCTCACGTGGCAGCACAGATGAGTAATGAATTTAAACTGGCTTACAACTCTACCCATTGCACATTGCTAAGGTCAAATCTAATCAGTCAGTCGCCAGAAAGAAAAAGCTAATGAATAGCATCCCAACAGTGAAGCTGTTTTTGAGAAGTTAACTGACTAAACTATGTCCTCATCATACAATATCCTGGACTGGTTTAGTTAGAGATCCCCCAATAAAACCACACACATGGTGACAAACATGCTACCACAGAATATCAGCCTAGTGTCTGGAACAGCCAAGAAACTGTAAACCATAATTGAGGACAATGATGGAGAGCAACAGAATGGAAGTTACAGCGATAAAACGGCAAAAAACATTGAGCATTTCTACACTAGAACACTAATAACCATGGATTTGACTCTGAAGAACTCCTGCACAAGAGAAGACAACCAACCTGTAGAAAGGGCCGGCGCAGTAGAAGTTCTGCAAGTATGCATGCTGCAGCCCACACATCAACACCAGAACCATACTGCTTTGCCCCGAATAACAGTTCAGGTGCTCTGTACCACCGAGCAAACACCTGAGCATAGAAGTTCAAGCTTGTCATTTTTTATTTTCCAAAGTAATAAATTGTGGAATCAAAATGAAAAAAATTCGGAGTCCATTCGTAACTATCAGAAATCAAAGATTCCAACCGACATTACACATCACATGTACTCGTACTGAAGAATAATACAGAAAAGAAGGTAAACTCATGTGAAAATGAAATTATTCATCTTTCATCTTGTTGTTATACTTCATAAACAGTATATTTCAACCAACAGATTCTTACTACTGCATCCCCTCCAATACGCCACTAACTTAACATATTCAGTTTCTCCCACGACTATGCTCAGGTGAAAGGATATCTAGGACTGATTGCCGACATTCAAACTATGATGTCAGAAAGGACATCTTGATCACAATCAAATTGAAAGAAAGCACAAGAAAGGAGAATCCATAAACAGCACAAAAAAAAAAAGAGCAAACATGACTAATATCAGAGAAGAGGGGTACAAATTTTTCAAATACAAACAAATACTCCATTCAACTTCTCTGTAGTTTGATACATCAGCAAACAAAACATACATGATGAGTGAACTTGCGATCGGGACTCCCAAATACACGAGCTAAACCAAAATCTGCAAGTTTAAGTTGTCCACCAGACCCTATCAACAAATTATTTGGCTTCATGTCCCTGCAGAGCAAGTACTGAGAAATTAGACAAGGTATAGCTATTTTACGTCACAAACTGACTGAAGATTTAAGCAAATACAGCAGTCACCTATGCAAAACCCATTTCTTGTGGCAAAAAGCTAGACCTTTCAGCGTCATTTGAAAGTATGATTTGATATCAGCTGGTGAGAGAAATATATTCCTATCACGAATAACTGCTTCCAGATCGGTCTCCATGAACTCAAACACAAGGTTTAAGTTCCCCTTGTGAGGGAATGCATCGATCAACTCGATTATACTCGGATCTTTAAGTTCTTTCAGCAGTTTAATCTCTCTGAGAGCTGTAAAATTCACCCCTTCCTTGTGCTTCCCGAGCCGAATTTTCTTAATTGCAACAGTCTGTCCAGTCTGCAAAAAGGGACAAACTTCCACGATTAACACTGTTCATTTCTTACTGTTCATTTATCACTAACACTGAATGCAGACAAGCGAATTACCATGACCCCATATACTATTCATGCAGCTACATTTGCAATGTGAAGGATTTGTTCACTCACCCGTGAGAGAAATCCCAATGACTAAAACTCAATCAAACCTAATCTCAACTGAATTATTAATATATACTTATACCGAATTGAATGTTCAGCTCTCCATAATATATAAAAAAAAAAAACCATATTCAGCTTTCTCAACACCCAAAGAAACGCAGCTGTAAATTTCTAATCCCAGTAACTCCCAAGAACTTCGTAGCTTAGAAACCCAAACGCCCAGAAGGAAGAATTGGAGAAAAACTCAAAAAAGAGAAGAATTTGGGGGAGTTTACTCTGGTATCAATGGCCTTGTAGACGACACCGTAAGTACCTTCACCAAGAATTTCACGCTTGAGATACCTATCGGCCACTCTCTTTTCCTGATCGTTCTCAGCCATCGCGAATTCTCTTGGTTTTTAGGTTACCCACCCGAATTGATTGTCCAGAGATTACAATCACTTGCTCTGGGAATCAGTTCTTCCAGAAAAGACCGAGACGATGGAACTGGAGCATCGTTAGAGCTTAAGGAGGCTGGAGGAAAGCAAAAGGAGGGACGAAGAAGAAAGTGAAGAAGAGTGTGGAGGAGCGGGGCGGCGAACAAAGAAAGAGAAGCGTGGTGTGGTCAATTACACAAAAAGCCACTAAGCGTTTTGGCTAATGAACAAATCAGTCACAACACTTTGATTTGTTAACATATCTGTCACCATAGTTTAAGAATTTTCCTAAACTCTCCAATGGATTACTGGGCCGGGTGGACAGATAAAGATAACACAAGCCCACACCAAATCGTTGGGCTTGGAAATTTGAGCCCACCAATTGACCAAACGTACGAAACCCTGAAACGAAGAAATTGAAATTCTGGGTTCTCTGCCTCCTCGATTCCGCTTCGCCGCCGGTTAGTTGCTTCTGAAGAAATCCTGGGTTCTGTTTTCTGGTTACAGTCTGGTTTCTGCTACCCAAAGTTCGTATCTTTCGTGGTGGGTTCGTGCTAAAAAATTGGTCTGGCTCACACTGTCAGTGGTTTCTGATCGTCGCAGCATTCAGTTCAACACAGTTCAGCAAGCTCGCCATGGCAAGAAGGAAGATGACCCTCAACAAATGCATCATCCATCACTACTGTTCTCGAGTTCATCGGCGAGGAAAAACCGGTATGACTGAATACCCTTATTCTTCTTCTTCTTCTACTCCGGCAGCCTCTCTTTCCTCTCTGTTCAGATCAAGACCAACTACTCGTTGTACATCAAGTGTACCTACTTTCGCCAGTGTAGATGATGCCTTGGATTCATTTAATAAGATGCTTCAAATGAACCCCAGACCTTCGATTGTGGAATGTGGTCAGTTGGTAACTTGTCTTTTGAGAATGAAGGCCCCTGATGCTGCGTTATTTGCATTTAGACAAATGGAATTGGCTGGAATCCCCCACGATCATTACACTCTTCGCATGTTGGTTCGCTGCTTCTGTAAATTGAGCCGGGTGGAGCTTAGCTACTCTGTTTTGGGCAAAGCTTTGAAACATGGTTTTCAACTGGATACTGTGATGTTCGATGCCTTGATTCATGGGCTCTGTAAAGACGCGAAAGTTCTCGAGGCTGTGAAGTTGGTCGATAAGATTAGGGTGTTGGGGTATCAACTCAGTGCCATCACTTATAATTCGATTGTTCATGGTCTGTGCAAAGATGGACAAACGAATGCTGGTCTGGAAATGCTAGAAAAGATGGAAGATTTGGGTTATCAACCTGATATGACTAGCTATACCATCGTCATCAGTGGTCTCTGTAAGTATGGAAATGTATCAGAAGCTTTAGATTTGTTTTCTAAGATGAAGGATAAAAATATGCCACCAAATGCTGTCCATTACAGTTGCCTGATTCGCGGACTATGTATCTCAAGCCAGATGAATGAAGCAATGATGTTGTTTGATGAAATGATAGAAAAGAATGTCATGCCTACTGTATGTACCTTCAACATATTAGTTGATGCTTTTTGTAAGAAAGGAAAGGTATTGGAGGCTAAAGTTATAATCAAAATGACGATTCAAAGAGGATTTCTTCCCGATGTCATCACATACAGTTCATTGATGGACGGGTATTGTTTACGCAACGAGTTAGAGAAAGCTAAAAGATTACTTGATTTCATGGTCAGCATGGGATGCAAGCCTACTGTTTATAGTTATAGTATCATGATTCATGGATATTGTAATGCTCAAATGATGGGCGAGGCTGAACAATTAGTTAGTGATATGGTTGAGAGGGATTTGACTCCAAATATAGTCACATATACTACTCTCATTAATGGATTTTGCCAAGCGGGGAGACTAAAAGATGCACAGAGACTTCTCAAGGAAATGCACCATCAAGGTCTCTCTCCAACTATCGTGACATATGGAAGTTTGTTGCATGATTCATGCAGGCGAGGTCATGTTGACGCGGCATTGGCTCTATTTCAAGCAATGGAAAATAGTCAGTTGAAGCCTAATGTTGTTCTGTATAATACTCTTATAGATGGCTTTTGGAAAGCCGGGAGGGCTCAAGAAGCAAGGGACATGTTTTCTAGGCTCTCTAAAGACAGTTGTTTGCAACCTGATATTTTCACATATAACATTACAATTGGTGGACTTTGTAGACAAGGTTTAGTAGATGAAGCATATGATCTATTCAGACAAATGGAACGGGGTAGTTGTCTACCAGATAGTTGCTCTTATAACGTGATTATCCACGGATTTCTTCATCATAAGGATCCACTTGAAGCAATGGACCTTATTAAGGAGATGGTTTCTAAAGGTTTCTCCGCTGATACATTCACGATGTCCTTGCTGATACAGTCATTGCCCAAGAATCAGTTGGACCATCCTGTTGTCCAAAAGCTACTGCATGATCCTGATGTGAGAAGTCAGGAAATGAGGTCTAGCGGTCTATCAACTGTTGCATCCCTAGCAGCTTGTTAGAACTTTTGTCCAAACTTAGATGGGTTTATCAAAGCTCTTCATTCCAGCAGGTGTCAATACAAACTGATGCCTTGAAGGAACAAATATATCATTCCAAAATTATGGTGCTTGTAACTGAAGGTATGTTGTATTTATGTGTGCTTCTTCTTTTCTCTTTCTTTCCATGTGGTTCCTCACACATGGAAACCATTGATATCAAAACTCTGCAGACTTGCTTAACTCTGCCATGGACGGAGTATGGAGGTGGCTATGTGATGAAATGCTATGGAAACCATTGATATCAAAACTCTGCAGACTTGCTTAACTCTGCCATGGACGGAGTATGGAGGTGGCTATGTGATGAAATGCTCTAGAGTCCATGCTTGTTTTGCAGTTAGGAAACTCTGAATTTCAATCATCAAGTCACAGGTGCTTGGGCTTCGATGATCATAGCCATGATGATCTTCAATTGATCACTGGTAGGAAGTGGACTCATACCCATGCAGTCCAACTATGTAATGGTTAGTTGTTCCCCTCTCTAAGCTTTTGGTTTCATTGTTAGTTAGTACTTGGCTCTAAGCAAATATTCTGCGATAATCAACTATGATAGCTTATAGGGCTCACTTAATAAGAATTTAGCTGCTTAGTGGTCATGAAAATTATGATATCGTGCTGTCAAAAAAAATAATTATGATATCGGTAGTCTAAGAGATGGGGATTGGGGCCTAAGATCGTATCAAGAGGTATACACCCAGGAGCTTGTTTAAATTGTTGGCCAAGGATCAGCTGAGATTTGTTGAATGGATATCATGGTCGAATGCTGGTTGTTGGATTTGGTGCATGTAGTAAGACTTAATGGTGCGATTATGATATGACAATTAAGCCTATTATGATTCCAAAATCCATTGCTCATTTGTTCATTCCAAAACTCTTTATTCCCTGGCACGATCACTGAGGTTGATTCAGTACTGTATTGGATGTTGTCTATGTTTTTTTTTATCTTCAGGTGTTGATTGGTTGTGATACCATGAAAGAAGTGGCGAGATAGCTGTATGATATGTCTTGCAGAATCCCTGATTTCCATCATCAAATTCAGAAGTTGGACGTGTGATGATTACGGTATCGTTTATGACCACGATCATGATCATGGTAGCGACGATCCTCGATTGCAGATGTAACAAGATGATGATGCTGCAGCAGCAGCAGATTCTTCCCCCGGTAGTCACTGACAGAAAGAAGGCTGGCAGCCATGAAGACTAATTATGTAACAGTGAGCTCTCTGATGTGTACTAAGCAAGTGAGTAAAGAAAATCCATCACTGTTCAATGTTGTTTCCGTTGTTTTGCTGTAGAAATACTGAAACAATACGATACCTTTGCTTTGTACCAACTGACATGAATTTAAGTAGATTCGAACGGTTCGCATACTGTATTTGGATCGACGTTATCGTTTTCTTATAAGCTACATCATTCATGAACAAAAGGAACAAAAAGTACAAAAGTAGGACTTCAAACATACCGTTTAATCGAGCCGTTGTTTGGTCATTCCCTTCCTTTCAGTGTTGTAAAAATTTTGTACACCGTGTTTCGTATTAATGAAACGGCCACCCACATTTAAAAAAAAAAAAAAAAAATCGAACCGTTCATCTAAATCTATTCATAAGTTGGCGTGGAGTGATGAGAAATCTCATTCAAATATGTAAGTTAAAGTACAAAAAGAACTTCAAACATACCTTTGAATGGTGTCGTGACTACAAAGCACCACTAATAAGTAGGATTGGGCAACGATCCAGTTCACACTAGATCAAATCATTACTGGATCGAATATATGTCGGTTCGGTTTTGGTCCCACGAATTATTTTAAAAATTAAAAGAAATGGATTGATATTCAATTTGGACCATACCGAATCGAACCAAATATGCTTTTAGTTCGGTTTCGGTCATCATTTTTCCTTTGATTTTGGTATGATCCTAAGTCAAATCAATCTTGTTCTTAACCGAATTGACTGATACCCACCCCTACTTATAAGCGTCGTCCTAAAATATGTTAAAATGATCTTTATACCATTTTGCACATTTTAGTTTTATTTTCGCTTAACAAACACACTCTAACAAAAAAAAGAAGTTCAAATATCCTAGAGCACCCTTATATCTTTAATATTCAAACAAATTCAATCACAATCCAATTTTAAATTAAATAAAATTATTATAAAAAAAATCGTTTGACTGGACAAAAAAACGTTTAGTTTGACCAAAAGTCGAACTGAAAGCTATCGTGCACAATAACGAAAATCAATTTATTTTACCGTTAATCAAATCGAAGTCAACGATCGATCGGACTCCAATTAAACATGAAGTCGGCCTTATAAGAATGAGGCGCTAATTAAGTGTTTTCTAGACATAATTAGAAGCAAAGCAATAGCAAAACCCAATAACAGGCTACTAATAACAGGCTTCAAAACCCAATATAAGAGAGAGCCCAACACTAAAAGGCCGAAGCTCCTCTCAAGATTCAAGTCTCAGCCGCCGCCGGCGATACAGTTGATTTTGTTTATCTGGTAGTTGGAGATGACAATGGCCGGCGAATCAAAATCGGAGCTTTCTCTCCAGCATCTCCTTCTTCTGCCGCTGTTGACGGCTGCGGAATCCTCAGACACGAAAGAAGCGTTGCAGGTTCTCGCATCGGCTGCGAGGTCGGATGCCGGCCGCTCCGACCTAGCTTCTAAGAATGTTCTCCCCGACGTTCTACGGTTCGTGCAATCTCTCCCTTGTCCTGAACACCTCGTTTTAGCTCTTAGACTTTTGAGAAACCTGTGTGCTGGAGAAATTGCCAATCAGAACTCTTTCCTCGATTTTAATGGCGCTGGGATTATTTCCGCGGCTCTGGTATCTTCGGGGCTTAACCCCGACTCGGGTCCGGTCATAATCCGGGCTGGATTGCAAGTCCTGGCAAATGTCTGCTTGGCTGGTGTTGAACATCAGCGAGCTATTTGGGACGAGTTCTTCCCTAAAGTGTTTATTGCTATTGGAAGCGTTGGAAGAAAGGAGATTTCTGATCCTCTGTGTATGATTCTGTACGCTTGTTGTGATGGAAGCCCTGCGCTATTTGCTCAGCTTGTTGGAGAGGAAGGACTTCCCATTGTTGTCGAAATCGTGAGGACGGCTTCCTTGGTTGGTTTTGAGGAAGATTGGTTGAAGCTGTTAGTGTCCAGGATCTGCTTAGATGAAAATCTCTTCCATTCCTTGTTTCCGGGATTATATCGCATTGGCATGTCTGATGATAAGGGCAAGGCTACCAACAGCAGCACTAATTTCTCGTCCGAACAAGCTTACCTTCTGGGGATGGTGTCAGAGATCTTGTGTGAGAGGTTGGAGGAGATAAGAACACTCTCAGTTGATTTTGCACTCTGTGTTTTGGGTATATTCAAGGACTCTGCTGATGTACTTGAGCAGCATGTCTCTGGAGCCAAATCTAAGCTTCCAACTGGGTCTGCTTCGATCGACGTTCTCGGATACTCGCTCACCATTCTAAAACACATATGTGGCATCGCCTTTGTGGAAGATTCGGAAGAAGATGTTGTTTCTTTGCTCTTGTCACGTGGACTACTGGAGACCCTTTTAGGGCTTCTTCGAGGCCTCGAACTCCCAAGCACGATAAGGAGAGGCACGAGAGGGGAAGGAACTGAGCGAGTGGCTACTTCTTTCTCTGGTAAGCCGTGCCCTTACATTGGGTTTAGAAGAGACATTGTAGGAGTGATAGGAAACTGTTCGTACAGAAGGAAGCGCGTGCAGGACCAGATTAGGGATGTTAATGGGCTTCTCCTTCTGTTGCAACAATGTGTTACGGATGATGATAACCCGTTCTTGAGAGAGTGGGGAATATGGGCTATGAGGAATGTGTTGGAGGGGAATGCTGAGAACCAGCAGGCGGTTGCTGAATTGGAGGTGCAGGGGACTGTTCAAATGCCTGAACTAGGAGGTCTTGGTCTCAAAGTGGAGGTGGATCAAAAGTCGGGACGAGCAAAGCTTGTGAATACATCTCCATCTTCATTGAAACCCCCCAGCATGAGTAGCTCCATGGATTTTGATATGTAACTTCGCGATCGTGACTGTTCTAACTTGCTCTTTGACATCCTGGCTACAGAAGCAGGTTGGTTTCCGGAATCAAACTAGTCGTTGTGGACGGAGTGAAATGGTTAGACAGCAGTAGATGGATTATAGGCACAGATGAATTGCTTAATCTAGTTACTTAGATGTTATTTTGTGGCACACGAATGTGGATCGGTGATTATGTATCCCATTTGAGATTCATGAACAGGGGTTAGATTTGAACATAGTATTGGTTTCTTTGATTCTAGCTTGAATTTCATTGCAATCCATCATGTTCCAATTGCCGAAAACCGGATGGTAGATTTGGCCTTTGTCCGATTTCAATCATCCGAACCATGCTGCAGTTTTGCTAGGTTTTCATGCTCAGATGCTTGTTCATAGTCCATAAGTACTAGACACAACTGTGTTCTTCAGTCTTGGAATTCATTGCTGATGTGAAAAGGTACCCAGGATAGTTACACACAGTGTAGTAGCAGTTTAGTACCTTATTATAAGAACGAAGATGAGAAAGTCGATCACTTTATTAGATTAGCAACAATCCTAATTAGATGGTTGGACACAATATTGTAGCAGTTTAGTACCTTTTTATAAGAACGAAGGTGCGAAAATCGCACGAAGAGCGCATGAAACAAAATTGTAGAATGTATGATACAAACTATGTTTATATATTAATGTTACATTAAAGCACTCGAGGCCAAATGAAAATATATTATGTGGGCCGACGGCGAGAAAAGAAAGAGGGGATCGTAGGCCGATTGAAGTCGAAGCTAGGGCGATCTTGTTGGGATTGAAGGAAGCTAATAGAAGACTTTTGAGTCTCTTGGTTGTTGAATTAGATTGTCCGTTTTGTGTGAGGAAATTGAAGAACAAAGAGGTTGACCGGACGGAATTGGGAGTGTGGTGCGAAGAGATTTGGAAGCTGGCAACGGAAAATGAAGCTGTGCCTCTGGTTCTCCGGTTGTGTGGAGTTTCGTTCCTAGAAGTTGTAATGACCCTGTTCATTGGTGAGCCCACTCTCTTGCTAGATGGGAAAACCAGGTTGTTTGGGTTTGTGACCCCCCCTTTTTTCTTTGATGAATTTGCTAGAGGCCGATTTGGGTCATGGTCCTTGTAGCCTGACTTGAGTTCTTTCGGAAGAAATTTTACCAGGTTTCCCATAAAAAAATAAAATTTGGTAATCTAATTAATAACTGATAGTAATAATTTATTGTTATAAAAAGAACTAGTAATAATTTATTATATTATAATTAGTAAAATATATTTGTAAAATTCATTTGAAATTTTCACTCGATTTCTTGAAATTGCTAAAATAGCTATGTCATTTTATATTTCATACGAAAAAAACACTTCAAAATAAATTTTATTTTAATTTATAGAATTTATTTCTACTGAATATCCATGAACATTATCCAGCATGATTAAGAAAACAATCAAAAGATTTTTTTTTTTTATTGGAAGGAGGCAAACTGCCAGGAATCAAAGTAACAGGTACAGGGAGGGGGCCTGGATCGCCTTCAGAACAAGAGGCACAGAGGCGAAACCATTAAAAACAACAAAGGCCAGCCTAACGAAACTATCTAAGGTCTGAATTACTATTGCTAGCTATCAGAACCTGTCTAGGAAAACTAACCCCAAGGATATCCTCCCGAATCAGTCTTTCAAGGTCAGTTGGAAGCTCATTTAACTCATACGTTCCGAAAGGATAGACGAGACTGTGCTTCGAGAGCCAGTCCGCGACTCTATTCCTTTCGCGATACGTATGAGTTAAACGAACTATCCAACTCTGAGCCAAAAACCTGCGAATAGCATTAAGCATAGTAGCATAAGGGTGAACCGGGTCAGTTCTTCTGGTAATCATCTCGATAGCTAACTTGGAATCAGTTTCGAGAATCAAGCATTGTGCTCCTTTCTTCCAAGCCCAAATGCACGAGCCCAGCAGCAAAAGGCCGAACCTATCCGCCGCCGCCAATAACAACAAGCCGACGGCGTTGCTTCACTGAAATCGCAACCCTTTTTCAGTCTCCCGCCCGCCGGCGGAGGCACAGCTGGTTATTGTCGTTGGGTGTCAGTATCTCTAATCACCGCCGTCACATTAACACCAGTTCAGCAGCTGGCCATTGCAATGAAGATGATCCTTAACAACTGCATCATCCGTCGAAACAACTGCTCTCGATATCATTGGCGAAGGGATGCCGGTACGATTGAATCGCCTTATTCTTATTCTGCTTCTTCCGCAGCCCCTCTGCCGTCTTACTTCGCCTCCAATCAAGCTAGTCCTCGTACCTCCACTTCTGCCAATTTCGCCAGCGTAGATGATGCATTGGATTCATTCAACCGGATGCTCCGCATGAATCCCAGGCCTTCAATTATGCAATTTAACGGGTTAGTGTCTTCTATTCTGAGAATGAACGCTTTCCAGGCTGCCTTGGATGTGTTTAAACAAATGGAATTAGCTGGAATTCCCCTTACCATTTACTCGCTTAACATGCTGATTCGTTGCTTCTGCAAACTGGGTAGTGTGGGTTTTGGCTTCTCAGTTTTGGGCAAAACTTTCAAACTTGGTCTTCAACCAACCGCTGTCACGTTCAGTATGTTGATTGATGGGCTATGTAAAGTTGGAAAAGTCGTTGCGGCTGGGAGGTTGGCTGATAAAATCAGGATTCTGGGGTGTCCACTGAATGTGTTTGCTTATAGCGCACTCATTCATGGAATCTGTAAGGCAGGGCAAACAAATGCTGGACTTGAATTGCTCGGGAAAATGATGGAGTTAGGTTGTCAGCCTAATGTGGTTTGTTATAACACAGTCATCGACAGCCTCTGTAAGGATGGAATGGTGTCGAAAGCTTTTGATGTGTTCTCGGATATGAAGGAGAAAGGCATTTCGCCAAACGTTGTTTCTTACAATTGCTTGATTTATGGTTTATGTATTTCAAGGCAAACGAATGAAGCTATAATGTTGTTTGAGGAAATGATAGCAAACAACATCATGCCTGACGTAGTTACTTTTAACATAATAATTGATGCTTTCTGTAAGAAGGGAGATGTTCTGAAGGCTAAGGTTTTGATCCAAATGACGATTCAAAGAGGATTGGTTCCGAATGTCATCACATACAGTTCATTGATGGATGGGTATTGTTTGCGCAACGAGTTAGACAAAGCTAGAAGAGTACTTGATTTCATGGTGAGCAGGGGATGCAAGCCTTGTGTTTATAGCTATAGTATCATGATTCATGGATATTGTAATGCTCAAAGGATGGACGAGGCTGAACAATTAGTTAGTGATATGGTTGAGAGGGACTTGAATCCAAATATGGTCACATATACTACTCTCATTAATGGATTTTGCCGAGCAGGGAGACTAAAAGATGCACAAAAAATTCTCAAGGAAATGCACAATCAAGGTTTCTCCCCAACTATCGTGACATATGGAAGTTTGCTGCATGATTCGTGCAGGAGAGGTCATGTTGACGCCGCATTGGCTCTATTTCAAGCAATGGAAAGTAGTCGGTTGAAGCCTAATGTTGTTCTGTATAATACTCTTATAGATGGTTTGTGGAAAGCCGGGAGGGCTCAAGAAGCAAGGGACATGTTTTCTAGGCTCTCTAAAGACAATTGTTCGCAACCTGATATTTTCACATATAGCATAACAATTGGTGGACTTTGTAGACAAGGTTTGGTAGATGAAGCATATGATCTATTCAGACAAATGGAACGGGACAGTTGTCTGCCAAATAGTTGCTCTTATAACGTGATTATCCACGGATTTCTTCGTCATAAGGATCCACTTGCAGCAATGGACCTTATCCATGAGATGGTTTCTAAAGGTTTCTCAGCTGATACAACCACGATGTCCTTGCTGATACAGTCATTGCCCAAGAATCAGTTGGATCATCCGGTTGTCCAAAAGCTACTGCATGATCCTGATGTGAGAAGTCAGGAAATGAGGTCTAGTGGTCTATCAACTGTTGCAGCCCTGGCAGCTGATTAGAACTTTTGTCCAAAATTAGGTGGATTGATCAAAGCTCCTCATATCCAGCAGGTTCTGGCGATACAAACTGATGTAGCAAAGGAACACATATCATTTCAAATTTATGGTGCTTGTAACTGAAGGTATGTTATATGTATGCGTGCCTCTTCTTCTTCTTTTTTTTCATGTGCTTCCTGACACATGGAAACCATTGATATCAAAACTCTGAGACTTGCTTCTGTGATGAAATGTTCTAGAATCCATGCTTGTTTTGCAGTTAGGAAACTGGGAATGTCAATCGTCAAGTCACAAGTGCTTGGGCTTCGATGGTCTTGGCTATGATGTTCTTCAATGGTTGAAATTTTCTATCAGCTGCTGCAACTCAAGGTGCTTGTTGAAATTTTCGTCTGGAAGTCAGTTGGATCATCCAGTAGTGGTGCACGAACCTCTTCAAGTCAATAAGATTCTCACAATAGAAAAATGATGTAACAGAGGCTCAGAGAGAACATCCTAAAACTTAATGCTGGTTCTACTGACATATGTGGGAAGCGTATGGTGTGTGGAACTAAAGGTATGACTCTTGATCCTCACCGTTCTAGCTTACATGTGAGTTTCGTGCATCGGGGTGTCTTCGTCCTGAACTTCCTATACATGGAAAGAACTTATCTCAGTTCTCTGCATACTTGTTTCTCTCTGCCATGGAAGGAATAGGGTGGTAGCTTGTTTTTCTGCAAGGAAACTCTGAAATCTGCTCATCTAGTTCTTGAGCTTTGACTATGATCATGATAGTGATAGTCAACAACAGAAGCAAACCACCCCTCAGGATCATTTCCAGAAAGATGATTGATACCCCATGAAGTCCAAAACTATTTAAGTTTTATCAATACTGTGGTATTTCACTGTACTTTACCAAAAACAAAAGCGGGAAGTTTATCAATGAGTACAAAATATCCTCTTTCATCCATCGTTAACAAATTAATTTTCGACATGATCTTCACTTTATAGCTTCAGTGCATAATTGAGTTAGATTAACAAATTTATTCTGCCAAAACCTCAAGCTGGTTGGACGAAATGAGATGCCATCGAGCCTTTCCCGGGTACTAAATGAGAGAACCATTGAGATTTGCTTGATTGAGTTGTTGAGTTCTTAACATAGCACAGACTGTTGCAAATAAACTCACTCTTTCATTGCGTGTTTCCTGGGTCTTTCCTGACGTGATTCGTGTCTAGGCTTCCGCTTACACTTCTGCTTGGCACAGTATTATATATGTTTGAACAGTACTTAGGGCGGTATAGTATTATCTGATGTGTATTAACTTCTGCCTTCTCTTTGATACTTGGTACTTAGTTCTCAAGCTTTTTCGAGAACGTTTTTCGGCTTGCTGCACATTCCAATGTTCTCAGGGCCCTGGAGCTATTCAGATTTCCCCTCCCCTATCCCCATTCCGCCACAAGCTCCTGCGCCTTTGAGAAGACTCCACATTCTCGTGAGGATGCGGGTCCTTCGAGAAAGCATGGACAGAGGAAATTGGGAAGATCACATCCTTTTTCGCTCACCACCCAAATCCATGAGCATCATGCTGTCAAAGATTGCCAAGTTTCAATCTTTCGACGAAACACTTGATGCCTTGCAAAAGGATGAAGGTTTGAGATCGAAGAGTTCAATGTCCTGCTTCGAGCCTTCTGCACTCAGAGAGAAATGAAGGAAGCTAGGTAGTTTGCATACCGTGTCCTAATCAATGCATACTGTAAAAGAAAGGTTACTTCAGCGATGCAAGGAAATGATCGACAGCAAGTCAACTAGTTTGTGCCTCAAGCAAAGAACTTCTGTTATGTTGATGAAGTTCTTCTTTGTGAATGGTCGAGTCTATATGGGTCGGAGTTGTAGAATTAATTTATTCCCAACAGTATGTAAATGAGCATTATCCAACATGGTTAAAAAGAATTAAAAAAAAACGCCATAAAATAGCTAATGGGTTGTTTGGATGAGGGAGCAGAGGACTATACTTCTGTCGTTTGAAACCGGAGTTTAAGAAATTGCACAAGAAAGTCAGATTAATCTTTATTTTCAAATTTACATCCATTTTGATAATATTATGGAACAAAAAATTCGAGAAATTATTACAAATCTATACTGTGGTTGTAATGTTTGGTGGTAGAGAGTACTCATCTCCACCATGCCCTGTCTATACTGTGGTAAAATATGAGGAAATGAAAGTAAGTTCTAAGTAATTTAAATAAAATTACATATAATTTAGACAAAATTAGGTAAAGAATGAGATGGCTCAGGTAAAGTCGTAGAGAGTACTCATCTCCACCATGCCCTGTCTACGAGGAGAATATTACTCGACCAAAACAACAGAGTGTGTAAAACGGATTAGATCAAAATTGCAATCTTTAATAAGGAATTTGGTTTCGAAAAATTTATTAGATAATTAGGTTAAAATCCTCACTTAAAAACCCACTCGGATAATTTGTACCAAGTCATTGGTTGCAAACCCATGAGCCCAACAACAAAAGGCCAAACCTTCGCCGACCCCAATAACAACAAGCCCAACGCAAAATTCCTCTCTTTAGAGATCCATTCCAGCAGCAAACCACTGAACCGACGGCGAGTGCTTCACTGCAACTCGCAAACCTTTCTCCCGCCGGCCGCCGGTTATTGTTGTTGGCTGTCGGTATCTCTAATCGCCGTCGTCACATTAACACCGGTTCAGCAGCTGGCCATGGCAAGGACGACGATCCTTAACAACTGCATCATCCATCGAAACAACTGCTCTCGATTTCATCGACGAAGGAAAGCCGGTACGACTGAATCCCCTTATTCTTCTTCTTCTTCTTCTTCTTCTTCTTCTTCTTCTTCTTCTTCTTCTTCTTCTTCTTCCGCAGCTCCTCTCCCGTCTTACGTCGACTCCAGCGTAGATGATGCCGTGGATTCATTTAACCGTATGATCCGTAAGAATCCCAGGCCTTCCGTTGTGCAATTTAACCATTTAGTGTCTTCTCTTCTGAAAATGAACGCCTTCCAGGCTGCCTTCCATGTGTTCGAAGAAATGGAATCAGCTGGAATTCCCTTTAACATTTGCTCGCTTAACATGTTGATTCGTTGCTTCTGTAAACTGGGTCGTGTGGATTTTGCGTATTCAGTTCTGAGCAAAGCTCTGAAGCTTGGTCTTCAACCTGATGTTGTCACGTTCAATACATTGATTGATGGGCTGTGTAAAGCTGGTAAAGTCGTCGATGCTGCGAAGCTGGTTCATAAGATCAGGATTCTGGGCTATCCATTGGATGTGTTCGCTTATAGCGCGATCATTTGTGGGCTCTGTAAGGCAGGACGAACAAACGCCGGACTTGAATTGCTTCGGAAAATGAAGGAGTTAGGCTGTCAACCCAATGTGGTTAGTTATAGCACAGTGATCGATAGCCTCTGCAAGGATGGAATGGTGTCGAAAGCTTTAGATGTGTTCTACGATATGAAGGAGAAAGGTATTTCGCCGAATGTTGTTTCTTACAATTGCTTGATTTATGGTTTATGTATTTCAAGGCAAACGAATGGAGCTATAATGTTGTTTGAGGAAATGATAGCAAACAACATCATGCCTGACGTAGTTACTTTTAACATAATGATTGATGCTTTCTGTAAGAAGGGAGATGTTCTGAAGGCTAAGGTTATGATCCAAATGATGATTCAAAGAGGATTGGTTCCGAATGTCATCACATACAGTTCATTGATGGATGGGTATTGTTTGCGCAACGAGTTAGACGAAGCTAGAAGAGTACTTGATTTCATGGTCAGCAGGGGATGCAAGCCTAGTTTGTATAGTTATAGTATTATGATCCATGGATATTGTAATGATTCATGCCTGCCAGGTCATGTTGACGCCGCATTGGCTCTGTTTCAAGCAATGGAAAGCAGTCGGTTGAAGCCTAATGTTGTTCTGTATAATACTCTTATCGGTGGTTTATGGAAAGCCGGTAGGGCTCAAGAAGCAAGGGACATGTTTGCCAGGCTCTCTAAAGACAGTTGTTTGCGGCCTGATATTTTCACATATAGCATAACAATTGGTGGACTTTGTAGCCAAGGTTTGGTAGATGAAGCATATGATCTGTTCAGAAAAATGGAACTGGATGGTTGTCTGCCTAATAGTTTCTGCTATAACACTATTATTCACGGATTTCTTCATCACAAGGATCCACTTGAAGTAGTGGCCCTTATTCAGGAGATGGTTTCTAAAGGTTTCTCAGCTGACACAACCACGATGTCCTTGCTTATACAGGTATTGCCCAAAGAAAAGTTGGATCATCCGCTTGTCCAAAAGCTGCTGAATGGTCCACAGATATCAACATTCGGGAAATAGGGTCTAATTGTCTATCAGCAGCTGCAACTTCAGGTGCTTGTTGAAACTTGTTGAAATTGTCCTCTGGAGTCAATTGGATCATCCAGTAGTGTGGACAAAACTCTTCCAGTCAAGAACATCCCAAACCTTAATGCTTTGTTCAACTGACATCTACGCGAAGCATTGTATGATGCGTGGAACTGAAGCTATGACTCTTGATCGGCACCATTCTCGCTTACCTGTGTGTTTCGTGCATTGGTGTGCCTTTTTCCTCAGCTTCCTGATACATGGAAAGGACTGATCTCAGTGTGCTGCATACTTGTTTCTCTCTTCCATGAAAGGATGGGTGTGGTAGGTTATTTATCTGAGAGGGAACTCTGATAGATGATTGCTACCACCCATGAAATCCAAAACTATGTAAGTTTTATCCATATTGTGGTATAAACAAAAAAATGGAAAGCTTATCAATGAGTACAATATATGTTTTTAACAGATCAATTCTCGACATGATCTTGACTTTGTCTAGCTTCAGTGCAGAATTGGGTTATGCAGCTACATTGAGCTCATAAGTCATAACAGATGCCATCGAGCCTTTCCCGGGTACTAAAAGAGAGAAACATTGAGCTTTGCTGGATTGAATATTATTAACCCAATTAGTTGCCTAGTTGTTGTTCAATTTTTGTTCATATTGAAATAAACTGAAATAGATAAGGAGTTGCTCATCGATCCACACAGTTGTCCACGTACCAGTAGAAGATTCAGCAGCTATCGCAACCCCCGCTTCCTCAGGCGGAACTTCTGGTTGAGGAGTTACTCGGAATGCTGCCAAGATATCAGTATCTTTGGTTTCGTAGTCAGGAGTTATTGAGTTCTTAGCATACCACGCACTTCTGTAAATAAACTCACTCATTTATTGAGTTCTTTGCCTAAGCGGATCTTTTCTGATGAGATTCGTGTCTAGGCTTCCCTTTTCTTTTTTCTGCTTAGCACAGTATTATCTAATGTATATTTCATAAAAACTCTTTGGTGATTTTAACCCGACTCAAATGAACCGATCTATCTCGATTTCTCAAATATGAATCTACTCTACTTGTAGGTAGTTTGAAGCAAAATAAAATGAGTGACAAAGTACCTAACTTAATCTGCACCGATCATAAAATAGATATAACGTAAAAAAAACTCGTATCGTCCCGCCTCATTGCCATTCCTTCCGGCAATGATACCGAGCACTTCTAGTATGCTATATAGCATCGATGCTTTAATGTACGACTTAAAATTATACCATAACATTAAATGTATAAGTTTAGGTTGTACCATAAAAGAATTTGTATCATTATGTTATGGTATTACTTTACAACTTGAAGTTGTACCATCAAATAAATGTATAAGTTCAAGTTGTACCATAAAAGAATTTGTACAAAATGTATAGGTACAATCTGAAGTTATACCATAATGTTAAATGTACAATTTCAAGTTGTACCGTAAAGACAAAAACCTATAGCACTGTAAAATTCCTCAATGATACCATCTCTAACTTACCAAAAACCTAGATTAAGGCTTCAGACAAGGCCCATGAAGCCCACCAAAGCGGACCAATTCTTGATTCTCTCCAACTGCTACTAAATTGGGTTGAGCCCATGACTAAGGCCCACGCAAAATTATTGAAGCTCTCTACCGTTACCAGTCAAGTACGCTACTGACCGACGGCAAAAGAATTCTTCATCCCACGGTGTCTCACCCTTCCCCGCTCCGCCGCCGGCACTAAGACCAGATTCGTCGGCCTTCAGCTGCTCTCACGCCTGCGAACGGTGGGTACAAGTCGTCCACTTCTTCAGGCAAGGCAAGTTCCCAAGTTTCCTATTTTGGCCTTCCCGGTTTAAGGTTTAATTCCAGGCTTTTACCAACACGGCCCTAGGAAAATTTCTGTGTTTCTGAATGAATGAGAAGTTCTGTTTCCCGGTTCTATTATGTGTTTTTTACGCTCAAGTTTCCGACTTTCATGGCGGACTAGGGCTGGAACTTGATTTCCGCTATAGGGGTTAGCTAATGATGCTGAATTGAGGAACCATATAGAATAATGATATTCTGAAAGGATTCATAATCTGATTTCAAGTCCTTGCAATAGGCTAGCAGCAGTGCCTCTCCACAACCTTCGTCGAGGATGTGCTTGGCCGTCTCTTTGCTGCACATTCCAATGGGCTGAAGGCCCTGGAGCTCTTCAGATTTGCCCTCCACCATCCACATTTCGTCCCAAGCTCCGACGCCTTCGAGAAGACTGTCCACATCCTTGTGAGGATGCGGTACTTCGAGAAAGCGTGGGAATTGATGGAGGAAATTGGGAAATCACACCCGTCTTTGCTCACCACCAAGTCCATGAGCATCATGCTGTCCAAGATTGCCAAGTTTCAATCTTTTGATGAAACACTTGATGCGTTCGAGAGGATGGAGAGGGTTTTGGAAGGCAGAAGGTTTGGGGTCGAAGAGTTCAATGTCCTGCTTCGAGCCTTCTGCACTCAGAGAGAGATGAAGGAAGCGAGGTCGGTTTTTGTGAAGTTTCATGATAGATTCAAACCTAATACCAAAACCATGAATTTATTGCTGTTAGAGTTTAAGGAATCAGAGGATATTAGTGCCATGGAACTCTTCTACCATGAGATGACTCGAAGAAGGTTTAAGCCGACTAGTTTTACGTACAGTGTCCGAATCGATGCATACTGTAAAAAAGGTTACTTCGGTGATGCATTACGAATCTTTGAAGAGATGCAGAGGGCGGGATGTCCACCAACGTTGGAAGCATTCACGACGTTGATCCACGGAGCAGGGATAGTGCGCAACATCCTCAAGGCGTGGGAACTATTTGATGAAATGCATGCGAGAAACTTGCAGCCAGATGTTGGAGCTTATAATGCATTGATCAGTACATTCATCAAGTGTAGAGAATTGAAACCGGCCATTGCACTTATGGTAGAGATGGAGGAAAACCATCTAGCTGTCAACAATGTGACCTACCACACGTTGTTTGTCGGATCCATGAACTTGAGTGGCATTGAAGGAGTTCGTGAGCTGTACCAGAAGATGATTGAGAGGAAGTTTGTGCCTAAAGCAAGAACTTCTGTAATGCTGATGAAGTTCTTCTGTGTAAATGGTCGAGTCGACCTTGGGCTCAAGTTATGGGGTTACTTGATGGAGAACGGTCATTGCCCTCACGGCCATGCGCTGGATATTTTGGTTACAGTGTTGTGCTCACGAGGGAAGCTGGAGGAAGCTTTGAATTGTTGTATGCAGTTTGTTGAAAAAGGGATGAGATTGAGCGAATCGGTGTATAGAATGCTGAAGAAGTTCTTAGAGCAGTCTGCTGATAAGGCTGATGAGTGGAAGGAGCTCAATCGGATGATAAAGAAGCTTGAAGACTTTTTACCCCCTTCGAAGGGTCATGCTGTTGGTAATCTTTCAATAGAGTGATCTGTGTCTGAAGCAAACCCTTGACAAAATATTGCCATGGCTTCTGTTTGTTTAAAGCATCTGTTTATGCAAGGGTTGCATTCCTCTGCCTGTTCTTCTGTATTTTCTTATGACGGGATCCAAGCTTATACACTTGAGGCAAATTCTTAAAAGTGGATGATGCGAGTACACAATCTTCCCAGTGAGGTAGGGATCATCAAAGATATTTTTCTCAAAATTGTAGGCTATACAAATCTATACGAATCGGAACCGGTAATAACATGTGTACTACACATTTCACTTTTAAAAGGTAATAGAAGAAGGGTTTTGCTTCATAAGCGGGAGGCTGTTAGCACAAGAAGGGGGTATATAGGCTGCTGCTGCTTCTACTGTGGATTTACTTGTATATTTATTTACTCTGGTATGTTTATTAGTTGGCTGACGGTTTCTCTGTATGGTTGCTTCCTTCAGGTTTTACAACAGTTGGCCCAAGATGATGAACCTCAACACCTGTAACATGTGTCGAAATTGCTCTGGATTTCGGCGGCATGGGAAAGTTGGTATTTCCGGTCTGCCATATTCTTCTGCTTCTTCCACAGCGCCTCTGTCCTCTCACTTAAGGTCCAATCCAACTACTACTCGTATCTCCAGTCCTTCTGTTGCTTATGCCAGTGTAGATGATGCTTTGGCTTCGTTTAATGGGATGCTCCACATGAGTCCTAGGCCTTCCATTGTGAAATTTGGCCAGCTGTTGTCGTTTCTTCTGAAAATTAATGCCCCCAAAGCTGCGTTCTTCGTATCTCAACGAATGGAGTCGGCTGGAATCCCGCACAATCTTCATACACTTGGTATGTCAATACATAGCTTTTGTAAATTGGGTTGTGTGGATCTTGGGTTTTCTGTTTTGAGCAAGACTTTTAAACTAGGTCTTCAACCCAATGTCGTTATCTTCACCACCTTGATTCATGGGCTCTGTAAAGATGGGAAAGTTGTTGAGGCTGTGAAGTTGGTGGATAAGATTCGGATTCTGGGATGTCAACCAAATATATTCACTTACAACTCAGTCATTAATGGACTATGTAGGGCAGGACAGACAAATGTTGGTCTTGAATTGCTCAAAAAAATGGAAAGTTTAGGTTGCCAGCCTGACGTCGCTAGTTACAACACAGTCATTGATAGGTTCTGTAAGGATGGGTTGGTATCTAAAGCTCTAGATGTGTTTTCTAGGATGAAGGATAAAAAGATTCCACCCAATACTGTTACTTACAGTTGCTTGATTTATGGTTTATGCATCGCGAGCCAGAGGAATGAAGCTTTGATGTTATTGAACGAAATGGTTGAGGAAAATATGACGTTGGATGCGGTTACCTTCAACATATTGGTCGATGCTTGTTGCAAGGAAGGAAATGTTTTGGAGGCTAAAGTTATAACCAAAATGATGATTCAAAGTGGATTGCTTCCGGATACCATCACTTGCAATTCATTGATGGATGGTTATTGTTTGCGCAACGAATTAGGCAAAGCTAAGAAGTTATTTGATATCATGGTCAATGCTGGATGTGAACCTAGTGTGTGTAGTTATAATATCATGATCAATGGATATTGTAACAATAGAATGATGGATGAAGCCGAACGATTACTGAATGATATGCTCGAGAAGGATTTGGCCCCAGATACAGTTACATATAATACTCTGATGAATGGATTATGCCTAGTGGGAAGGCTCAAAGATGCACAAGAACTTCTGGAGAAAATGTGCAGTCGAGGTGTCTACCCAGATGCTGTGACGTTCGGGAGTCTGCTTGCTGGTTTGTGCAGGCTAGGTCATCTTGATACGGCGTTAACTGTATTTGAAGAAATGGGAAGTAGGAGGGTGAAGTGTGATGTAGTCGTCTATAGCATTCTTATCGATGGTTTGTGGAAAGCAGGGAGAGTGAAGGGAGCAAAGGAAATGTTTTCTAGGCTCTGTGATGATGAAGGTTTGCAACCTGATACCCACTGTTATAACATAGAAATCGTTGGACTATGTAGCCATGGTTTTGTAGACGAAGCATTCGATTTGTTCAGAAAGATGGAAGGGAGCAGTTGTCCGCCAGATGGTATCTCTTATAACGTGCTTATCCATGGATTTCTTCGGCATAAAGATCCACTTGAGGCAGTGGAACTCATTCGTGAGATGGTGTCTAAAGGTTTTTCAGCTGATGCAACCACAATGAAGTTGCTGATAGAATCAATACCCGACAATCAGTTGGATCATCCACTGCTCAGAAAGCTACTGAGCGATTCTGATGATGAACAGTCAGGAGATGGCTCATTGTGATCCCTTGTCGTTCTTATTGCCTATGTTCCGGGTCGTGAAAACTGACTTCGGAGTGCATGCTTGACAAGTTCCTAGAATGGGGCAGCAGGTTCTCTCCCTGGTCATTACAGGCAGAAAGAGGATTGATAACTGTGACAGTTTCTGTGTGATTAATTTTTTGAAGCCGAAAACGATTGGCAGCAACCCCAAACACACACTGTGCTCTTCAAGTGTGTTATTACAGTAGCTGAAAGAAGAAAAGGCGGTTATACCGTATTTCCTTGTACATAATTTGAGGGTGTGTGGGTGAATCAGAGTGTAGACAGGCTGATAATACTTCTGGGAGCAGTCTGGTAAGATTCATGAATAGGAGCTCATCCAACTGATAAAGAAGAAGCTGCAAACAGTTTTACCGCCATCAAGAGGCCATGTTGTCGGTTATCTTTCGACCGAAATAACTTGTCTAACGAGCAAAGTCCCGAACGCATACTGTAGCGTGGCTTTTTGTTGGCTTTTCATACCGCCAGCAGCATCTGCATGGCTGCCATAATACAGCCTGTTTTTAGTTCTTACTGTTAAAACTTTTTACTAAGAACTATTCCTTCAGTCATGGTGTATATATTCTACAGACAGATAATAACAGCAACGTCTGTCCAGATCAAAAGTTATAAAACTGTAAAACAAATAACAATAAACCACAATAAACTTTGTATAGACTTCGATCTCAAATATGTCGAATAGTACAACTGGCCGGTACGATTTTCATGAACAAGGCAAAAGTTCTCCTGTTCTCCTTTATTTTCACATTTTACATTTACCTCTCATATTTACAGAATTAATGACCTCAAATTTTCCCTACAAAAATAACCCCACCCTACCCCAAATGGGTATGTTTTACCCCTTAACCCTAGAGAACATAATAATTTTACACCATAACCCCCTAATTCTACCTTTGGCTCCCCTCCTATAATCTTCCTGACATTATTATTGCCACCCCCTATAATTATAGAGGACAAAAAAGTAAAGCCTTTGTGAGCACCACAAGGCGTAAAGACAGAGAGTCGTCAGATGTTCTACTCGCGAATCTTGACCACCTCGAGCACCGTGGCATTGCAGAAGAAGCATCTGTGACAGTTGAGTAGATGCCTGGTTATGCAGCCATAGCAAGAGCGATGCGAGCAAGGAGCGAACTGTGCATCTGCTTCACTAGTGTAACAAATGCAGCAGGTGGCATCGTCGTCTGTTGTTTCTCCCCTGCCTCTTGTCGTCTGGACTTGATCCGACTCAATCCGGGTTATGAGAAGGCTCAAGAAGGTCTCGAGCTGGCACAGCTTTCCAAGGTAAGAGTCCCCGCGACCACAGGCAGCCTGCTTAACCAATGTCAAGGAGAGGTGAGAAGGCTAGTACTGGAGGGTCAATTACGTAAACGGTCACTAAACTTCGAGCGCTAACAAATTGGTCGCTGACGTTAACTGGTGTAGCAGACAATTTGTCCATCTTAGTTTGATATGCCACCCAATTCTAGATCGGTATGCCGCATTACTCGAAACCATCCTAATCCCTGTCATTCTCAATAACTAATTTGACCGTTTATGTGACATTTTCTTTCATTAATATTGGTGAGCTGACAGTGATGGACGAACATAAACGGAGTGACAGTTATATTGGCTATTCGAAACTTAAATGACAAATTCGTTAGTAATTGAAGTTCAATGACCCATTTGTTAGTGGCCTCAAGGTTCAGAGACCGTCTACGTGAAAGGAAGTGGCTGCTCAAGCAACAAATCTGAATACGATAATGAAGAAAGTTGTGGAACAACTAACCCAGTTGTACTCTAATAGGTATTGGAATCCACAGTGCACTGTATCAGGGCAGTCCATGCTTGCAAAAACTCCGACAACATCATTCTGATCCTCACCTTCCTTCCCAACATTCCCATCCAACAGATTCAATATGATCTCTACAAGAGGCGCTAGTATCATACCTCGATTCACTTTTTCCATGGTCTGACCATATCGTCGAAGTGACCTGCCAAAACAAAAAGAGGTCTGATATCAGTAGCATGAGAACTGATAGTAAACACACAAAAATAAGAATGTATAGAAACAGAAGCTCACAAATCAAAAAACTCAGCATCGGCAGCTGAAGTTATGTGGTTGAGAATAAATACAATCAGTTCGGTCAGTCTTCGGAGGTTTGTATCGGTCCCAGATAAAAATGACTGAGGAATCTCACGGGTACAGAACTCCAAAAGCTTTGCCAGGTTGCATGAGAGGTCAAATATAACGCAGCATTTCCTTTGCTGGAACTCCAGCACCTGCAATGATGTAGGAAGTTAACAACAGAAAATCGAATAATTCCAGAATAAATTCCTTTCTTCAAATCCAACAATGTGGCAGTTCCTATATACTGAGTATATCAGGTTTCCCATGGGAAGAAAGTTAAATATTCTCAGGTACCTGGTACTTATCTTGCATTTCCCGAACGGAAACAGAGAACTCAGTCATTGTCCAGCTTAGAGTATTAAAAAGTCGATTAAGGAAACCTGAGAACAAATCCTCATCACCGACGCAAGTTTCCTTAAGCAACGTCTACATAGTTATAAGACAACCAATCAAGAGAATTGAACTATGGCTGCCAAGTAATTAATATGACAAAGAAACGAAAAAAGAAAGCTTAATTCACCTGGAAGACCAGTGATGATGACGATGATGATTCTCCATGCTTCGGAGATCCAAACAGAGAGCCCTTGCACAATCGCAGAAGAATGTTGGTCACTGGTATCCAAGATCTGTTATCAAAAGCAGACAACAATGATCTTGGCAGTATCTGAGTGGCTGTCCTATTGGTCTCAAAAAATGCCAAATGTTCCTTGTATTGTACAAGCACTGATATCGACTGCAGAAGAAGATCCCTGAGGTCTGCACTCAGTATTCTCGGGTCATTGAAGTGGCTAACCACAAAAGTCACCTGAGGATAGAGAATAGCCAATTATAAACACCGATGTCCTTGAAAAAAATAAAGAAAAAGAGGGTTTGATAACTGTGGAAGACATTGCTATCACAGCACTAATCAGAGACGAGAACAAAGATGAACCAAAGAAGAGCAAAACACCATTTTTTAGTCTATGCCAGGTGGAGCATTAAGATATGAATGATAGATGCAGTAAAAATATGCATGAAGACCATCAATGAAATCAATCATCAACAAAAAAGAGTGAATCCACCATGATGTTTCAACCATTAAACCCGCCTGAAATAGCAACCTGGATTGACTTCACAGGATCATTTCAAACAGCTACAAAAGTTCAACAAAATATTAATTATCAATATCCAGTCCCCTAAGGTTTAGAGGAAACAAGAGAGCCAGATGCATAATATAATAGAGAATCTCTGGATATCCTACATTTGGCTAAGAGTAGTGAGCTTGTGCATCTTTCTACCTAAGCACAACCCCACCCGAAATTTGCACTTCAAAGAAAAGGAGAAGTCAGAACTCATGGAAAAGCTTATTCCACATAAATTAAGCAATTGTTGGTGTGGCATTGTAGGAAAGAATGATAAGAACTGATTACTAACTGTAAACAGAAGTTATTGCTAGGGAATCCTCAGCAATATATGCAAGTTGCATAAGGTACATTTTCCAGTTTGAAAGAGCAGGTAGGTCATAAAAGCTGGCAACCTCCAGTTAAAGGAAGTTGCAAATTTTCAAGTTCAGTTATGTGAGAAGATAACCGAATATCGATGGTAAAAACAACTAAATTATGGATGACAGGACATGGTTCAACAGTTTCGACTTAGAAGGAAGTCAACTTCTTGTGGGATACACTGAAGCTTCTCTTTCTCAATATTTATTGCACAGTTCGGCAACAGAAACTTTATATTTCCCACAAAAGTTATGACCCTATCCCTCCCTTTGCATCCTGTAAAGAAACTTACCAACTGCTTAAAACAGTGGTTCCTTGAAGAAACACTTCAATATTTGTTACAAGTTTTTTGGCAGACTCCAGGGAACTTAAAAGCTAAACCCCACATAAGGTGGCACCCCTTTACCAGCGCCTCTGTCTATGACACGCGTCTAGAACTACAAGAACAAGCAATGAATCGGGAAAGATCTGCAGCAGCAAACACTTATAAGCCCGTACTCAAACCTTAAAACAATTATTATATGAATAAATATACAAGTGACTCACAAATGGAGCAAGCCCTTGCTTGATAAATATTGCTGAAGGGACAAATGGAGGATCACTCTTCCGCAGCACATGAAAGCAGTCTACCTGCAAGCATAACAAGACAAATTGAATTAACGATTTAAGCCAACATATACTATGATTAAACCCATGCTTCTAGCAAAACAGTTAATTCTGGGATGTCAATATTGTAGTTGCACTTGTACGCCATAGCCTTATAACATTTTCAACAGATCAAAAGGGGAGAAAGAACTCTAAAATCCCAGCACATGCAACATAGCAATTAGTGCCACAAGCCACAAACTCAATCTAATTATCAGAACTATAGGAAAGTTGGAGTATTTCTGGGAAAACTTGAGAGTGGCACAAAGAGAATCTTAATTTACAAAGTCAAACAGCATTCAAGCAACCATTAAAAAAAGCAACAGCATTCAAACTAGAAAGACTCACTGCATTCAATGACGACAGAAAGCAATAAAACTAACTTGCCAAAACAGATAATTCGAGCGAGGGTAAAAACAACTGAACACCAATTGTTAGTTATTCTCCACACTTGACAGATACAGACGGAAGTAGCAGGAAAGACTATGCATGACTGAACACCATTTGTTAGTTCATCTTGAAAACGTAATATAAAGTTTCCTTGAGTCAAAATTATTAAAACACCTAATTATCTTCATTTATTGCAATCTCGGAAATTAAACATGTATAGATACATGCATGCCCCAAAACACACCCAAGCAAACTTACACAGATACGGAACAAATCAACTTTTACCAATGTGAGGGGGAAGATTCGCTGCACATTACTTACCATAGTCTCAAGATAATATTCTGGGACATAGAGAAATAGGGAATCCACTTTGCTTAGAACCAAAAGTAGTTGGACTATCCACATACATGTTGCGTACATCCCTCTCTGCTTCCATCGGGAGAAAAGAGTTATCCGGTACCTGCAGTTATTAACATGTTAGCAGCCAACAAGACTGAAGCTTAGGTCCAGATCACTCCTCGTCATAAGCAACTTTCAATTTCATCAGAACAAGTCAACCACACAGCTCTATAGGGCCAAAGCTGTGAAGACCTAAGCAGCAAGAAGTCTGCAACTATGAGGAATCACCTACCTGAAAATTCAATGCATCCTACCCTAGTGGGACAGACTACCAGAGACACATTAATTAGTTGACAGTTGCACAAACAATTAACAAGTTCCATCGTAAGGAACCAACACATTAATCATGTTAGCAAAGAACGCCACTGTGGGACATTTTTATCATAAAAAAAGAAATGGAAAAAAAAACACCATGAAATAAAAAATAGTCTCCTCTCCACCCTTTCCATTCAAGACTTAATTTTAAAGACCTATTTCACACCTGCAT